TAATTTCTGTATTCTTTATTCTCTTCGTTTCTTGTTACGACTATCGTATTCCTTCTTCGCGTGACCGTTTCCCATGTTCCTTTCTGGCCCGTTTCTCCATTGCTTACGGCTCCGATATAACTTCCCACATTTTCCGTCCTCCTACTCATTGACTCTTTCTCTTCTCTCTCGTTATAAGGTGGACGTATTTGTATATTTTCTTTTACTATAATTTTAGGCTTAATCCTCAGCTCCCTTTTCGGAAGTGGTTTATCCGTGTAATCGTTTCTCTCCGGGCTCTCTACTGTAAAGTCTCGTATTGAATGTTTTCCCATTCTTTCCTCCTCGCAGTATCTCTGTCCTTCGGGGTGTTTCCCTGTGTCTCTTCTCGCTATATTAATCCGTCGGGCTCTCTCTTCTTTGGCTATTCCCTTAGTTTCTGTCTTTATTTGTTCGTTTCCGTCTTCTGTCTCATTTCCATTTTTACCTTTCCCTTGTCTCGGGGTATTTAGTTTACTCGAGGTGATGTCGTGTCTCCACTTGTCTCGCCATTCGTTCCGCTGTGTATTTCCCGCGGGAGTCGAGGAGTCGTACTCCACGCCCTTTATTATTCTACCTTCGTATCCCCCGTCCTTCTTGCTGCTTCTCTCCTTGTCTCTTCTTAATCCCGCTATCTCCTTTTTGAGGTCCTCTACGGTTCTCCTCAGGATTTCTGTCTCTTTTTTCCTACTCTCGTTCTCATTCTTTAATGCTTTTAGGTCAGCCATCAGCTCTATATTTCTCACTCTTAAAAAGGAAGGATCACCTTTGCAGTCGGCCTTCCGAATGAGACTTCTAATTATCTCCTTAATACCTATGACTCTATCCTTTATATGTCCTGATAATCTACCTTGTATATTACCGCACTTCTTGCGGATTAGATCTATGTCATTTAGCCATTCTATTGCCATTGAACCTACTCCAGGTGCCGACATGCCTTCGTAATTTCCATAATCACTAATTTCCGTTATTTCTTTAATACTCATATCTAGCGGTTCCGTCATCCTTCTTTTTGGCTTTTTAGTCGTTTTAATTCTCTTTCCCTCATCCGGTCCGATAAATTCTATCCCGGTGAATTCTACATCCGATGTCTCTTCCTCTTCACTACTCGAATCAATTCTGTATATGGGTAGGCTTGTGTCAATTTTAGATTTGACACTGGCTCTCTTGACCGGTCTTATATTATCCTCGCTGTCGTCTCTGTTTACATCCTCTCTGTTATCTATAGGGGAAGGCTGTTTTTTCCGCTTCCCTATGCGTTCTTGTTCTATTTCCATCTTACTATTATCATTTACTACTTCCTTATTCGATTCATCATCGTTATTCATCTTATATTCATCTATGGGGGGTCCTAGTGTTCCCCAGATATCCTCAGTTTCGCATAATTTCTTGTCGGTCCAGTCCTCATTTTTCCTTTCCGGGTACAATTCCTCCCCTCCTTTCTCAGTTGCGTCTTTTCCCTCGTCGTTGCAATCTTCCGGATTACCGGATACACTTTCCCTTCCATCGCTACTTTCATTGCTTAAGGTATTTAAAGTGCTCAACGGATTTTCATCCCTCCCGCATAAGACCCCGGAGGTCCCGGGTACCGCATTGTCTAACAAATTTATTTTGTCAGTCATAGTAATAGTGATAACTATCCGACTCACTTAGTCCTCTCCTAACGGGTCCCGCGTACGATCTCCGACCATCGAACGCCCCCCCTTCAAAGTTAACCGTAAAGTTGCTACCGTATCTATTGCTATTAGCTATTTCTCCCCTCGTGGGGAATGAAGGATATGCGCATTTAAAATTTCCTAGCTTATGTGCACTTTCGAGTTCCAGATCGCGACAAAGCGGACATCCCGCTTCCATCGCGCATCGGTCGGCGTTGTGCCCATTATTTCCACAATTAAAACATCTGCGCCCGCGATCTGTCTCTTCCCTGCAATTGTTGGCAGTATGACCCGTCTTGAGGCATTTGTAGCACCTTGTTTTTGCCTTAGGTAGCATTCTAATCGCCACTCTGGACCATCCAATCTTCACGTATCCTTTATTGAGCAGTCTATTACCTGCATTCTTTGTACAGCTAAATCTCAGCCTCCATCCTCTCGGGGTATATGAGAATTTATAAAATTTAAATTCATCCTCTTTTCTCTCTATACCCTCAATTATTTGTTTTTTGACCTCGTCTTCCGTTAGAGTATCGTCCGAGCCCCCGGCCTCGAAATGCATTTGGTTTTTGCCCCCGAGGCCGGGTTTATCGATCGATACTTGGTCCCCGTATTCTTTAGCACTCAATTTCATTCTGTCGATTAATCGATCCGCTTGCCGTTCCGCATCTTCGCCCGTTATTCTTACGATTCTGCAGCCGCTCATTGCTTTATGGACGCTCAGCTTCTTAATGCCCAATTCTGCTTCCGGGTTGATGTTTTTCCTTAACTCAGTCATAAGTCTCTGATAACTTATTTCAGAATCCTTCTTGATTCTGATTACTATAATTGCGCTAGGCTCTCTCATTCTGGGATATTCGCTTCTGATACTGCGTTCTTCGTTCTGCAGCATATTTCTTTTCCCTCCTATTTCTGGGATGCCCACGTCCACTGGTGTAAGGTGCGCTCTGCTCCTTCCGATTTGCTTCTCCTTGTTTAATTGAGGAGGAGGGGGAGGAGGAATTGGCGACATAATTTCCTCCGCCCTCCTCTTTTTTCCTCTTCTATTATTGTCTTGTGTGTTGCCACTTGGCCTATTTCTTTCGCCTTCCATATTTTTATTTTCCATTAGTCTATTAACCGCGTGCTCGAGAGGAATCAGTCTTTCCACGAATCTCGCCAGGGTGACGTCTACTGCTGCCACCACTCGCTTTGTCACCTCCGGCACGACTTGACTCAACTCATAGTTCTGTATAGGACCCTGCCTGCTTCCTATATCCATCGTTGTCCAGTCCATACATGACTCCTCACCCTCCAAGAACGGGGTTTGGTCTCGCTCGAGATCGCTCCCGGACACCCTTCCTTTTTTGCTTTTGTTTCCTGCGCTTACGCATTTTTTAATTTCCTCTTTCAAGTTTATAACTTCTTGCTCCAATGATCTGATTCTTATCCTCAGTTGTAAATTACTTGCCCTTGCGCTTGCTATTCCAGGATCAGGAAGAAGGGCTCTACGGGATATCTCCGCCACGAGGTCCTTTACCCTACCACAATCGAATTCCTCAATTGCCTGGTTGGTGCGTTTATTTAATTCCTCCATTGATAGATCACATAATTGTCCCACATCGAGATCAATTCCTGTTTTATCCTCTTCAGGTTCGTTCTTATTTCCATTATCTCCTAACGTTCCTCCCACTTTATCTCCAACATTATAATATTCGTCTCTTTTTGTTTTCTTTTCAAATTCTTCTTCACCAGCAGCGATAGCCAAATCCACCACGGCGCTCGCCCCCAACACCGTGGATCGCCCCTCGCCGGATTTCGACGCAGGTCGGGCGGGGCTCACACCCATCAAGGGTTGCGAACCCTCCCCACGCCGTCCCCTGGGGATCCGAACTCCCTGGGGAGGTAAGTTTTCTTTTTTATTTGTACTTAGCATCATTAGAATTTTTAATTGGTTTATTTTCGGAGTAGCCTTCTCCTAGGCCAAGTTTTTCACGAGTAGGTCATCTCGGTGATTCGAGGAGGGCGCGGGGCCGCCCAGCCCTATAGACTTCTTTGTGTCTTGTTTATTAGTTGACTTTGTATGCAGGTTTCTCCTTTTCCACTTATTTCATTGACTTCCATAGACTTCCATACCACTTATATATTTTATTTAAATTAATCTAATTTATTCCACATTAATTTTAATTTACTAAAATTTATCTCTAACCTCTAGGTAATACTGATGCTTTAAAACTCTTCGGGAATCCACATCCCTATTTTCGCAATGTACGCTAGTAGTCGTTTGATATTTCCTTATTAATGAAGATTAGCGCTGCCGTACTAGGCTACTTACTTCTTAATTCATTTAACTATTTCAGATTATTGGTAAGTATTTAATTTCTTTTCAATAATTGATTTCTTATCTAATATCCTTCCAAACTATCCTTGATTTCCCTCGCAGCCATCTAGCGTCCTAGAGTCCCGTAGTTATTCCATTCCAGCTTCCCGTCCGTTTTTCCTCCGAGCCATTATCACTTGTCAGTTCACGATTTATTATTCGAGAAGAGACAGATCACCTCTCTCTAATCCAATCATTCCCCGAATAAACAACTCGTCATTGCGCATATCCTCCTTATAGCTGTCTATTTCCATGTTACATTCCCACCCAAAATAGTCAGTGTATTTTAATATAGCCTCTTATTATCATCGAATCAATCATCTCATCAACAGAGAGTATCAATATCATTGTGATTGTGAGCCATCGCCCAGCCGTCCCGGGGCATCTGTTTTATCTTTCCATTTGATAGTGTAATTATTCTTACTTTAATTATCTTTTTACTACTACTATTATTTAATTGTTTGATTACTTATTCAATTCCTTTGCAATCTTTATTTATAACTTCTCATATCTATCTTTAATTATAATTTATCATAATCTAACTGTCCAGATAATCTAATTTATTTTCTATTTTACACCACTTTTCATTTACCTCCGGGATGGCTCGACACTCCCCCGCTAATTACACCGACCTTACGCATGGTCTGTGCACTTTGTGATTTATAGGGATCGCAATATCTATTATTTACTTGACCCATGGTCAGTTTCACGCATTCTATACTCGTCCAAGCATCTCGCCAGCGCATATGTAGTATAAAGTAGTGTTAACATATTCATTAACCGTTAATCTCATTTAAAGACTAATATAATTGTAATAATATACTTCTATCATACTACCTATCCTTGAATTATATTAATTTAGTTGTATTAAGCTCGATTAGCAGCTCTTATAGCTTTATATGTCTACAAACCAATATATAATTATATATATTTCAGTTTTATTAATTTTGTTATTATTAATTAATCGCTTAATTTAATTATTCAATTATTTGAAACCGTCTTACAAGCCTCTGGCGAAATCCTTCAACCAGTTTCATTCCATATATCTATATTTGTATTTCAATACGCCGCTCCCTACTTTCTTGCGCAGAGTCTATGCTCTTTATAATTTATGAGGATCGCAATATGTATTATTTATTTAAATCGTAATCGATTCACGCACTCTATACCAGTCCAAGTATCTCGCCAGCATACATGGTATAACTGTTAAACTTATCTAAATTACTAATATATTTGTAAAATTGCAGTCTGCCGTATTACTTATCCTTAAGTTATAATATTTCAGTTAAGATATTAATTGTGTCATTAACTCAGATAGGGGCTCCTATAGCTCTTATATATCTGTAAGCAAATGTGTAATCATACGTATTCCAGTTTAATTGATTTTATTAATTAATTAATTATCTAGTTTAATTATTCGATCATTCAATGCTCCACTGGCGAAATCCTTTGACTAGTTTCATTCCCTATATCTATGATCTATATTTATATTTCAGTAGACTACTGTATCCGACGGGTTATTGCTCCGCTGCGCTTTGCTCCGTTGCGATGTATTGAGGTTAGTCCTTCGGTATTTCTCTTGAATATGAATACTTCATTTAACTGGTGTTTCCTGGTATGAGTATCCCTTTCGTATTGTATACTCTTGTTTCCCATTTTCCATATGTACCTATATATAATAGTATTATTATTAGTTAACACTTTTTTTTATTTTAGAATCATGAGTAAATTAGTTGTAAATAAATTAGTTATTAATTAAGTCGATGCGCTCCAATCGCCCTCAAATTTTAATACGTATGAGCTTGTTTCACTTAAGTTAAAATAAGTTAAGAGCCTCATTCTTGGCCAATATTTACCATAAATTAATGAGTCAATTTGACACGCAATTGACATATCCTCATTCCATATTTTACACTAGATGTTTCATTTAATATTAATATCTGACCTTCTACACACTCTCCCTTTACATAAAATAATGATTTAAATTATTAAATTCGCATGTTTTTATTAATAATTATTAATTATTCATCTATAGTTAATTTTGTGCCTTATTCATTGGAATTGTATAATTTATACTATTTCAGCTTGAGAAGAAAAGTCAATTTCTGCATTTATAATTCTTTCTACTCATACATGTATGTATTTTATTCACATTATCTTTAAATTTGTAAATATCTATAGGAAATTGTAATTACCATCCTTATACATTGTGTGGCGAATCAATAATTTACAGTTTCCCCTCCATTGGTTTGCATCGACTCATTCTTATTAAACCTATCTTTATTTATCATCTCCTAATATCTTCTAAACATCAGTCTATTTGCTTCAAGGTAGAAGTTAGCACGCTAATTATTTATTATTTGAATGTTTCTACTCCTATCCTATTACTCTAATTACCATCATTGCAAATAATTCAGCCATTCATTTAATATTCAGTTACAAATTTAGCCCGAAGAGATTGTATCTTTTTTTTTTTTTTTTTTTTTTTTTTTTTTTTTTTTTTTTTTTTTTTCCTTCATTATACTTACTTTTCTACCAGTAAAACTATCGGTGTAAACCATTTATGTTGTAACTTACAAACAACTATAAATAAAAAAAAAAAAAAAAAAAAAAAAATATTAATTATATTGAACTATAACCAATCAACTGGGGGGAAACATTAGTTTCATTCCTACTAATTGTATTCTTATTGCAGATCGTGGACCGCAAAGTCGTCGTCCTCTCGTCTTCTTTATCCTTCGTGCCACCATACTAATGTCCTAAACATCCATCATAGGCTCGTTCTCGCATGTCATTTTATTCTATCTGCAGTATCGCTTCCAACCATTTCCAGTCACGGTTGTAGACTTCGCAACGGATTATTATTCCATCATATATATTTCCGTAAGTCAAAAATCTATTGAGAGCAATAAGCATATAAACACATTCACCCTTCCTTTCTTCTAGTCAAATTAAACATCCATTTGTATTCCCTTTTCTATTTTGACCTTATTATATCTTCTATCAGTATTGCATATTATAAGACACAATTACATACATACATACACACACTCATATACACACATACGTATACACACACATACACACACACATCATTTCTCATCTAGTGCGTTCCCACGCATCGAAAAGAGATATATTTTATCTAATCTTTCCCATTCAGATTTATCTATAGTAATAACATGTTGTACAGTGTTAAGTTTTGACTAATTTAATTATTTATATTTATGTTATCATGTCCTATTAGTCACCCTCCCCTAATTTCTTTAAAACTATATAAAACATGTAACATATAAGACACAACAATCCCTGAATTAATGATAACTCCATCAATAGGTATTACTTTATTATTTAATATTTAATATTTCCAGTGTCTACCTAATATCTCCTTTAGAAAGTTAATCTTTAGTTTGAAATTCTTCCCCAGCTCTTTTTAACATTATAATAATATTGTATTATTAGCTTCCAGTTTCCATTTTTATATAGTTCATCTCCCTCCGATGCAGGGGACCTCCAATGGTCCTCATCCTTTCCTTTATTATTCTGACATTATCGATTAACACATCATATATATTAAAAGCCAAGTCCATTAATTAGAAACACGATACAAAGTTGATTAATTTTATCATACACTCACCACGCTCAAAGATTCTTTGTACCATTTGTGTATAATTCAATACGCAATCTTACTAGAAAGACAATCTTACTAAAGTCGTCTTTGCCAACTGTTATTACTGCTTAACTATCTATCTAATTGGCTTTATTCAAATTTTATTTCATTGCTATTACTTATGTACCTCCTTATTTATATGAGTTTCTCAATACAAAATTTACTGTTATCATTTACAATATATATATAATTGTCTTTCCAGCAGCTGCATCTTTATGTTCTCAATCTAAACCTCCACCATATCCTTTCCGTGTCAACAGAAGCTTATTCTTCCACCACATGTAATACACCTAGGAGCTTCATTTTATCGTGCTTCTCATTTATTATTTCTTTTGCAGGGGGACGTGAGGACAGGAAGACACCCCGGCCCATCGTTTCAATGGCCCGTAACTGCGTCCAGGATTCCATCCATCATCTAAACAAAATCATCAGGTAAGTATACGTCACTTCCATTTCTTTAGTACGTTTTGAGCTATTCCCTTTACAGCTTCTTCCCATTAGTTTGGTTCACGGCTCCCGTCGCTAGGATCCACCGCAACAAATACGCAGTTTCCCTTTTAATACGTGTATCCCTTTCGAGGTTATATTCCCCTCTTGGACTTGTCATTCAAAAACCTGTATATATATGTCTTTATTTCCTGTTCACTTTATTGTTTTTAGTTAGATATTATACTTTACGTCTATAATTTTAACACTTTAGCACTTTCCCCTTCAATACCTATTTTCCCTTCTAATTTCACGCTCCGAGTCAAGGCAGCTGTCCGTACAGTCTGAACGCCAATATAGTAAAAATGGCGCAGCCAATCATCACGCATTATTTCCTTACCACTTAATGACCATATAAAAATTACATTATTACATTTTATTGTGCCTAAATAACCCTCTTTTCTTTAAATAACCAAACTTAATATCATTGTTATTACATTATTATTACGTTGTGACGCTAACGCCAATATAGGGGAAACATGGCGCCACCAATCAGCGCGAGTGATCTATTTAGCTTTTTCTATTGTATTTTCCGAGTATCTTATTCACCATCTACTATAGCAATACATTGTCTAAGGAGTATCTACTTATTTTTCCCTTTTATTACCGCAGTTATTTATTATTTATTCTATTCTAATTTATTATATTTATTTCTCTATTATAACTGTTTATCACTTGTTGTTTATTCCAGACAGCGTATTTCCATCAAGTGCCAAACATAATCCTAAGATAGAGAAGAGAAATGCCCCTTTTATACTGATGAGCAGTGTTTATCCAGGTAATCATTTTAAATTTAATTCATCCTATTATTTCCTTATCTATTATGTTATTCTTTTCACAAATTGCAAATCGTGGTCTGTCTTTCTTTATATATTACTATCCTAAACGGGAAAATGATCCATGCTTGGCCTTCACTGTCATCATTAATTAGCGTAATTATATTCTTTATGTTTTCCATATTATGTCTTTACTTGCAGATTGCGTGCCATTGACCGTGAACATGAAGAGAATAGCTCATAGCCTCTACTCTATTATCTCATTTATATAGGTAAATACACTTTCTCTTTGTTTATTCATTGCTCGACAATCTTATTCTTGGATTTTGTTATCCTTACCTCTGTCCTGGTTGCAGTCATTTAGTCCCGTCTTATTTACTCTACATTTACATTTATTCTAATGATTTAATACCATGACTTATAAACGTTAATATTTTGATGTATCTTTTCAGATTCTAGCCCTATATAAACTCACCACGACCAAGCATTCATAAACAAAGGGTTAAACTACGTGGGATTATCTTATTATGATCTCTATATACAGTAATGAGAATCAGAGTTATACCCATTATTCAAAGCAATTTATAGTTTATAATTACATTCCTAAGTAAAGATATTTATTTATCTATTTATCTATTTCTTCCCCTATTATATTACTTATCTTCCTTATTACATTATTGATACATTCTATTCTATTCGTTATTTTATATTTACTACTCCTCCAATAATTATTAAATTAATGAATGAATTGGCAGATTTTCAAATTTATAGTAATTTGCATCATATATTATAGTTTAGTTAATTTGAACATTCAATTTGTCTTTATCTAGTGCTTAGTGCTTTATTTAGCATATTGATTATTTACTATCTCTATATCTTGATTTAAAATTTATGCATAATCAACCGACTGCCGACAATAAATGGTAGCTATACTTTTATTTTATTTTGCTAGGTCATTGTTTCTTGTTTATTTAATTTCCCATTGTTTGATTTCGTATATAACCGTTGATACTTAATGTATCTTTCAGATTTATTCCGTATATATGCTCATCATGACCAAGCATTCATAAACAAGGAATTCCTTAAGAGACTACGTGGGATTATCTATTATGATCTCTATATATAATAATGGGAATCGAATCGAAGTTATACCCAATGTTCAAAGAAACTTTATAATTACCTACTATTTAACTTATTTCCTTATTGATAAATTCTGTTTCCTTAAGATTCAGATCAGTCTATCGTTACTTTATATTTAATACTCCTCCCGTAATCGTTAAATTAACAAATTTTTGATTTATAGTAATTTATATCGTATATTCGTTTAGTTAGTTTAAACATTCACTTTATCTTTATCTAGTGTTTTATTTAGCCTATCGATTGTTTGCTGTCTCTATATCTTAATTTAAAGTTTATGCATGATCAACCGACTGCCAACTGTAAATAATTGCTATATCTTTTATTTTATTTTGCCAAGTCATTGTTTCTTGTTTATTTAATTCCCATTGTTTGATTTACTTAATGTATCTTTTAGATTTAAGCCGTATATAGGCTCACCGTGACCGAGCATTCATAAACAAGGGTTTCCTTGATGAGCTACGTGGGATTATCTTATTATGATTTCTATATACGGCAATGAAAGTCGCGTCAAGGCCATACCTAATATTCAACTTAACTCTCCATTTTATCTTGATATTCATTAATTCTTAACTATTTAATTATTTTTCTCCTTCCCTTCATTACATTATTGTTTCATAAGGATCTTATTCTACTAGCAAATACTACTCATCGCATTGTTTTACCTCCCTTTTATATCTTTATTTTATTTAGTTAGATATTAAATAGTAGGTAATAGAGTCACCAACATCACGTATACCTCTTATAGAGTTTATCAGTTAGTTATTCTTTAAGCTATTATTTTCCTAGTCTGTACTCTATGATACATAAGTTGAACTTCACTCTATCATCTATATATTTATTTAACAGAATTATCCTTTACTATACCATATCAACCACTTCTTGTAAATCTTAAATAAATCTTAAATATATGATAACACATTATATTATGTATTTATTCTATTCCTTTTCCTATGTGCCCTAGAACAATAGCTGATTGATATTACTAATTATACTATATTTAGTCTGATATTATTAACTATTTCAGTAAATATTGAAGTATTCCACCAGATCTTTATGCCATTTCTATTATACTCCTATTGATTTATTTTAGAATTATATCTTACTTTAAACTAACACCTATCGTATTGTTTATTATAGTTATTGTATCCCATCTCAACTGAATTTCAGTACGTCTATATAATCAATTTATTATCTATAGTTAATTACTTTATGTTATGTTATGTTCTGCTACTATGTTTAAGATATTTTGCATCCACCATTAATTGCTGATAATTAATAGTTATAATTTTCATATATTTCCCTTTATATCCATCGATGATGTTAACAACATTACAGTATACTCTAGTTTATAACTTACATTTGACAATCGTTACAAATTAACTATCTATGCTACTAAATAATGCTTATTTAATTCCATTACTCCGTTTAGCGCAGCTCCATCATATTTGGCACTTGCTTTATTTAAACCTTTCTCAATAGTTCACTCTTGTTTTACCAGATATAATACCGCAATTTTAACACTAAATTAATACTAATTTTATACTGTTTTATAACTTTCCTATAATAATATTAATTTATAATCACTTATTCTATAATATAGTTTCCTATTTGCTTTATCCTACTTATTACTTGACTAGTATTATTTAATTATCTAATTTATATTTATTCATTGTCTTCCCTTCATTTCAGTAAAGACAATGAATACAAAAAATCATGAATCAGCTAAAGCTGTACTACCGCAATTACATATAACCCGTCTTTATATCTTAATTTATTAGCAATCCTTAACTAAATTTATCATTCATTTTACATTCAACATCACAGTATTTTCATTATTGAATATCTAAAGACATAAATCCTGCTAAAGCCTCTACTATACTGCTACGACTATCAACGACACGTCACCAGGCCGCCGTTCCCCGATCATCTTTATGTCTTGATTTTATTAATATATTATTTTCTTAACTAAATTTATCCTTTACTAATACTTATCACATTTTACACTCGTGCATCACATTTTAATCAACATTCATAATCAGAAATCATGAATCAGAAGCTGTACTGCCGCAACTACCTATGACACGTCACTCAAATCATCGTCCGCCGATCATTTTAAATTTTCAAATTTTTTTAATTTTATAGTATTTTCTTAGATAAATTTATCATTTAATAGTACTTTAATACCTTTTACACTCACGTATCTCAGTATTTTATTCAATAATCATACTAATGATAATAACTATTCCAACAGCTATTCTGCCGTGGCTGAATATGACACGTCCCTCAAGCCGCCATTCGCCGATCATCTTAATATCTTAATTTAATTAATAATATATTATTTTATTAACTAAATTTATTATTTCTTATTACCTTTTCACATCCTACACACATACATCACAATATTTTTAACATTTATCCACTATTTACTACTTATCTTATACTTCACTTCTAGAGCTCCCGCAGACACGTCCGTTCGGCTCGCCGGCCCCACGCCAACCCCAGCCAAGTCTAGCCTGACCTAGCCAGAGCTAGCCAAGTCTAGCCTGACCTAGCCAGAGCTAGCCAAGTCTAGCCTGACCTAGCCAGAGCTAGCCAAGTCTAGCCTGCAAAGTTAATTTGAGTCCAACTATTAAATGTTTATGTGATTTAAATCTACGTATTGACGAATAAATTTGTATACTTTGGTATACTAGAAATATATTTGTATACTCTTGGTATACTTTGTATACTGTTATAGAAGAAGAGAAAGCTGTCGCACTGCAATGGCTGATATACCGCCTGAAAAGAGGAGGCCGCCACCGTTGCGGTTCGAAATGGAGGTGTATACGGAGCTGGAGCTGAGCGAAACGGGATGGACGAAGCATGACCGCGATATAGCAGACGACGGTTTTACCCATTCGACGTCCACCGCCAGCACTGTCTCCATAGAGGAGATGTCGGATTCGGAACCTTCCTCCGAATCCGACACCTCCTCCAGCAGCGAGGACAAAAAAGACCCGCCGGAACAGAAAAAAAAAAAAAAAAAAAAAAAAAAAAAAAAAAAAAAAAAAAAAAAAAAAATTGGTGTACGACAAACAAAAAAAAAAAAAAAAAAAAAAATTGGTAAACGACAAACAAAAAAAAAAAAAAAAAAAAAAAAAAAAAAAAATCGACCAAACATTTATATGTCCAAAACGCGTTTCGCGCCATTCTCTATCGATTGGTATATACGAATTTTGACGAATTTTGGCAACCCCGTACACCCTTCTGGGACTTAGAAAAAAAAAAAAAAAAAAAAAAAAAAATTTAATAAAATAAAAGTAGAACTTTTTAATTTAAGAACCGTATAAACTAACCTAACCTAGGATCAGCCGGAGCCCCGTTAGCCGTGGAGAACCCATTCGGGTCCTCAACGTTGCCCGACTCTCACCGCGTGGAGGTGGGGACGGCACGTGAGCATTCAACTCTTTGGAGAGTTTGTGTATGTGTGTATGTGTGTGCATGTGTATGTGTGTGTGTATCTGTATCTGTATGTGTTTATTTTTTTTTTTCTTCGCTTTAAATTTTTATTTTTATTTTTTTATTGTCGCGGTAAATAAAAGCGTACGCGCCGCTGCTACGGCTGCTGCTGCGGCTGCTGCTGTGGCTGCTGCTGCGGCTGCTGCTGTGGCTGCTGCTGCGGCTGCTGCTGCGGTTCCTCCGACTCGATATCCACTGTCTCAGTGTCGGGTGTCGGTGAGCCGCACGTAGAACATTCCGATCTCGTGCCTAAAAGGGAATGAAAGATAGGAAAAAAAAAAAAAAAAATATATATATATATTTCCATATACATATATACAGGGTCTACCAAAAGTGTGGAAACCCCTAAATATCTCGGAAAATATACGTTTTACAGAAAAGTGTTTCCAACAAAAGTTGTAGGGTTTAAGAAGATCTATATACTGATTCTATCAGTTTGACCTTGGATGGCGTCGTCAAGGTCAGGTCAAGGTCACATTGACTTTTTTAAATGACACCCCCTACATTTGATTGCATATTCTTATAGCTTAATTCAAGAGCTTTCCAAAACACTATAATAATGTTCATTTTTATTAAGTACTTTGCGAGTTATGAGGGTTGAATGATAGAGTAGCGCCGGTATTAACATTATCCAAGGTGTACTACATGGAGGTTACTCGCTCGGATTTGCATCTGTTGTGTGTGTGATCCAGCTAACTAAGGCAAGATCGGTCGTGGATCCAGTCAGCAAAAGCAAAGACCCAACCAAATTACAATCGAGCATTTAAAGACCTGGAAAGCAATCGACATAGTAAACAGTAAATAAATTTGTGGATGCTCATTTATCATAATAATTGTTCGAAATGTGTGCGTGTGCGTGCGTGCGGTGCGTGTATACAGAGATCAGGTTAGGTTGCACCAAACGATTGCAAATGTGTTTCAATGTGTTAAAGTAAATGCTGAAAGTGGCTGCCATTTACTTCCTGACAATATGCTAATCTTTGGTAGAATGTAGAAATGACTTTACGATTCGTTTCAAAAGGTATCAAAGCCATTTCATCCCTTATTCGCTGTATCAATTCGTGAATGGTTTTAGGTTTTGTTCTGTAAACCTTACTCTTCAGATATCCCCATAGATAATAATCAAGAGGAGTTAGATCTGGTGACCGAGGTGGCCAATCCTCTCCTCCCTCATTTCCGTTCCTTCTTCCTATCCACCGTAGCGGAAAAGTCTCATTTAAAATACGACGTGGTCCTGCACCAAAATGAGCAGGAGCTCCATCATGCTGAAACCATATTTCTTGGAAATTATTTGGAAAAGTATTCTGTATGGCTGGAATTATTTGATCAACAAGTAATCTCTCATACCTTTGAGCGTTCAAATATTCTTCAAAAAAAAACGGCCCTATTAAATAGCCATCTATTATTCCGCACCATACATTTATTTTTTGTGGATGTTGTGTGTGAGTTTCCCGCACCCAATTCGGATTCTCATCTGACCAGAAACGAAAATTTTGATTATTAACTTCTCCCGTTAAGGTAAAAGTTGCCTCGTCTGTGAAAACAATTTGATAAGGGAAGATGGGCCGGACATCTATTAGTGCCATCATTCTT